GCTGGTTTCACTATTAAGTCATATCTGTTCAATGCCGTGTATGTCGTGGTAAAGATAGAGGTCGACGTTAGGGATAACATGGAAATGACCATGAACTCCCATGGATTTCCAAAAGACGAAAGAAACATCACCAAGGAGAATATAACAGTTTCCAAAGCCACCGTCGCCGTTTGTCGTTGATCAAGTATTTGCCACAAATTTTCAGAGCGTTCGTTTGCGTGATCGATTGGTAGTGTGTTTTAATCTCCATACTTCAAAGAGTATTTAATTTACCTTGTTAAGGTTTCCCTTGGCTGTTAGAACATTGAACCTGATTGATTGAACCTTCGAGTGGCGACGCCCATGTTGAGATTGACTTACAGCTACAATCCTGGACAAACGTTTTGGGACAAATTTGCACTTTTGGTGCTTTTGGGCACGCGCCAGACGACCCCCACCCCCCTTACAATGTTGAAAACTACTACCTGCAATTTTTTTCTGATTTTCGACATTGTATTGGGTGGAGAGGGCGAAGAGCAACTCGCTTTTAAAGGAAAGCAGCGCTTTTTTCAAACTTCAGTAATAAAACACAGATTATTCGTTAAATTACATGTGTCCCAAGGACTTTTGTTCACGATTGTAGCTTGCTTTCCATAAGAAACGGCACATAGCAAGGCACTTCAATCAACGCTTAAAAATGAAGCCCAGAACTTAAAATAAGTGCTTGAAAAGCAGGTGTTTGCGTGGTCTGAATAAAGCTTAACAATAGGTTAGCAAAACTTAATTTAATTTAGAACATCAGTATCAATTATATAATTTAAATTTAAAAATGATAAATTTTACTGAGAACTTTGAACGTAAGCATTTCTTTCTACAGTCTTCTTGATACATCCACAAAATGGTAGAGTTGATGTTCATTCGAGTAATAAAGCCTTCGTCTAGCAGTGCCCACCCTAATAAATATACATTTCCTGGTTTCATATATTATTCATAGCTGGAGTTTCGTCTTTGGCATTCGCCTCGTTTTTTCTATTTTTGATTTTGCAACTTATTGCCCTGCGTACTTCCTTCATGCTTCGGCATTTACAATCTGTAATTTCTGAGAGCACTAAGTCTACTAAATGGAAAAAGCTGGTTCCTATTTGCCTTATTTTGTTTGTCTTATTTTCCTTTGTTTCTATACCAAGTTTTAATTTTGGAGATGGCATATATTCATAACGTTTTCTTTACGCCCCATTATGCCTAGACTGCACTCATTGTGTTGGTTGAGCTCGGTTTCCGGGAAGAGAAATTACGTGGCACACTCTGCCATCTTTTGGCCACCGAAGTGGCCGTTTATTTTTAGTAACAACCATGCCCAACTCAGATGAAGCTTACTTTAAATGAAACTGTTCTCAGAAAAGATGAGGGGAAAACCCGAACGCGTGCTATAAATATTTTTCTCGTAAAAAAACAGGGATGGGTGTGTGGGGAAAATCTAGTTGGCTTCGCCGTGAATGCTTAAGGAAAAGAGCTGAGGACGAATGTAGCCCCGGGAATGTAGCTCATCTGCGCCTTATAACAAGGAGTAATGTTGCAAGATCGTATAACTATCACCTGACCGGAGGCCTGAAGAGATTCACTGACCATAAGGAGCTTAAAATCATTTATTTGCTAACTAAATATCCTTTAGTTACAACTGAATGAAGTTCACTTGTCGAAACAAAAATAGCTTTAAAACATTTAGTTCAGAAACACGGCCGAACGCAAAGTCGTTCTTTAGTAACTATGAATGTATATTGTCAGTCACACACTTTTCTTTTATTTCGATGAATATCTCAAAACTGAAAATGAAAAGGTGTTGTATCGCTTGTCCATAGTTTATGATAAGGAGCTTTAGTACAAGATAAGGAAACAATCCACCAAAAGAAAAGTATACGAACCATAGCAAAACCTCTGATAAAACTCGCTCATAGTTTAACTCCTAAGGGAATTTCAACTCGCCCACTCTCTACGAAATGTTGTCATTCAGTTAAACTGGCGCCAGCGAAAATAAAAGCAAACTATCTTCGAAAAACGCGTTTTGTCTTGCATGTTTTCGTTGCAAGGCTGCTTTTGTTTCTATATCGAGGGTTACATTCCAAAGCAGTATAATGTGACTTAATGTACAAAGAACACTTCAGATACGTGCAACGTTTAATACCTATTGATTTGGTTGAACTAAACAATCATTGAGGCTTTTCCTAGCACGGCATCTGTAGTTCTCCTGCTCTTTTGTATTTTCTCTTTTCTGAAATGAATGGATTAATTTGCTTTGTTTTAATGCTATGACAACCAAAACAAAAAACGGCGATACAAAGCGACACAAAGGAGAAAATAATAATAATATACATATTGTTACATATTAAAATTTCACTTAACTTTATCCGTGAAGACTAAAACGACCTTCAAAACACAAATGTAAATGCTTCAAAAAAGTTGACATAAACTTAAACTCATAGAAGAAATTTCCTCTTGATAACCATCAACTGTCAAAACCCTAAAATTTTGACGGCAACCTCGTGCCCAGGACGTTTCCCTTAGAGATTCCCAGGGAAAAGTCCTGGGAACAAGGTTGCTGCCAACCGTCAAAATCGGAAAACTTTAATCGTCAACCGTCATGTACAATTTTGTGCATCTCACTCACGGAATTATCCAATTCTCTCAGCACTGAAAATCAAAATGCCTCTAGAATTGCTGCGTTCACCTCTAAACTTAAGTCATTTTTCCTGTTGTAAGTATATGTTACTTCTCTTAGTGTGCTTGTTTGTGCTTCGTTTTTTCCCTTTCTTGTCTTCCTTAGCTCTTGCGCATTTACGCCTTTAGCTTTGCATTAACTACTTTTTATCCTAAAGAATGATCATTTTGTGTGCTGATGACAACATCTTTATCCCTTTGTTGAGTCTTAGGTATCTTTAAGGTATTCCTTTACATANTTTTCCTGTTGTAAGTATATGTTACTTCTCTTAGTGTGCTTGTTTGTGCTTCGTTTTTTCCCTTTCTTGTTTTTCTTAGCTCTTACGCATTTACCCGTTTAGCTTTGCATTAACTACTTTTTATCCTAAAAAATGATCATTTTGTGTGCTGATGACAACATTTTTATCCTTTTGTTAAGTCTTAGGTATCTTTAAGGTATTCCTTTACATAAGTTTCAATAGCTTCCCTGAGCTTCCTTGCTTTAGTATGCATTGGTATTTTGTAAATATATTTATAAACGGCAAAAAATTGAAAGAAGCAATTCTAATGCACTTAACGCTTATTAGGCATAGTGGGCTTTCTTGGAACTCGAGTGAGGCGAGGAGGAAGAGATAGGTAGAGTTGTTGGCCTCTTCAACTGTAAGTATTTATGCAGGTAGGTGGATCGTATCACACATTTCTTTTAGGTACATACATGCATAGACTTTATTTCGCTTCGGATTGAAAAGTGGTAC